GATCTATGAGCAAAGGACTTGTATAATAAAAATACTGAAGTAGTGAATAAGAATCAAGATGTAAATAATACCGAAGTCAGCAACACCATCTATAAATGGCAGAGCGGTCTTCGAGATGAAAAATCAACTAATAAATTCACCAATGTATTTGATAAAATTGAACATGCAATTTCGCAATCAGTCAATCGTATTTGCCTGACGATGACACACAACAACTTGTCAAGTCTTCATAATGTTTTATTCTCCTTGCCATTGTGTACGACTCCTTTTGAGCACCTGACACATTTAAACTTTTCTCATAACAAGCTTTCATGGATACCCGCACAGATTGGCAAACTTGTTCACCTTCGATTTTTAAATGTTTCTTATAATCAACTTCAAGAGATTCCTTGTCAAATTCTGAAAATTCATGGCCTACAGCAACTTGATATCAGCAAGAATCCTTTACCTAAAGAAACTGAAAATCATTCCCAGCTTATCTACCATTCTAAATCAGCTGTGCCTAAGCTTTCTGAATTATGTTACCGTGAAATTTTAAATAATAATAATGAGAGTTATATATTCGTATTAAATAATATTTATTATTACTTTAACTTTAGGAAAGCAATCTAATTGCATTGATTGATAAATTAAAGAAAAAGTGCCGGTGATCATAGCTTGAGATGAAATTATAGTAGCTAATACGGCTAAGATAAATACTATCCAGTAAATACCAGGATGAGATGGTGTAGTTAACCAAAAAGTATTAGAAACTATGGTGGGATCTAAAACCAAACGCGCAGCTTGTCCTGTATATACTAAAACCAAAGGAATAAATACACAAAATGGAAAAGAAATTTGAATGGCCTTTTTATTAAAATGTCCTAAGTCTGCAAACAATGCTTCCACGCTTTTGGAAATAAAGAAAGATGGTATTAGATATTTGCGTAATGAATATATACTGTATATTTACAATTCTTTAAAAGCACTTTAAGTTTACCCAGTGATAGCCAAAAAAATTCCACCAAGATCAGTAAACTTTAAAAATAAACAAAAAAAGTTTTTTTGTGATAAGATAATTGATAATATTAAAATAAATTTAATAGTAACAAATGTAGACATTTTACCCCAGCATCTTTTTTTCTAATAAAATAATCAAAAGCATAATAAGGATTGTAAGCTTTAAAAATTTCAGGATATTGAGAAATGTTCCAAATGCCAATGGAAGTGATGGCAATAAACCACAAGGAAATACTAGGAGCATATAAACTTCCAACTTTGTCTGTGCCAAATCGTTGTGATAGAAATAATACAACGATAATAAAGCTTTTTATTTGAAAAAGAACCATTTACTTAGATTGCTTGTCAAATAAAATAGCTTAATATGTGTATAAACAAATACCAGCTGAGAGGAATAATAGCGGGTGCTAAACTTGGCATAGGAACGGCTATACCCTCAACGGCGGAAATTACAGATATGGCAGGTGTTAGAAGGCCATCACTCATCACCAAAGAAGAGCCAAATATTACCACACCGAATAAAATAGTTTGTATAGCAATATTACGTTTAATAAAGTTTGCACGTTTTTGAGAGTCACTAGCCGATATAATATCATTACTATCTTGCTTTATAGCCAAATCATCATCAGAATTCAAATTTCCACGTACAGATATGCCAGAATGTCTGAAAAATAAAATAAAATAAAAGTTAAAAATCGCGCAAATATTCGTTGCACGTGACCCTTGTAATTTAGTCAGGCCTCAAATATAAATTTTTACCTCACAAAATGCATTACTTTTTTAAATAAATCTTTGACTAAGTTTTTTTTATGTGGTAGAAGTTGTAACTTCAACCATCTGCTAAATTACTAACTAATGCATGCTGAAGAAGGACTAATTTCAGTCATT